CCTGGCAATGGAGTGACAGAACGCAGAAGAAATTCCACCCGTTTCCTGGCAAACTATGAAAGAAAACTTACCACCACTTCCATATTCCCAAGTGACCCTATCATAAATCCTTATTGTTCTTTGCCGGGATTAAAATAACTTTGTCGACGATTGTTGACGTGTATTATTATGGACACGTTTTCTAGTCAACGACTTGTAGATGTGCGGGCACTGGCAGTGGCTTCTTTCTGATATTTTCATAAGTTAAAATCTATGCAGTAATATTTTGTAAAGGTTTTGAGCTTTCTATTTATGGATACATACACAACAATACTAATTCATTTTGTAAAAATGTGTTAGAAATAAACACATCCTAGCCTAGGTTGTGAAATGAATTTTTTACAAATTTTTCACAAAATCATTAGTTTAATTTTTTTATATATAATGTATAGAAAAATATGCAGATAAACGTATATAATGTCATTATATGTATACAGTCCACATTTTATGTATTGAACTTCATGTTGCCCACATACAGACCAAACTTTGCCGAAGTTGCCCGCACAACAATCAAGGTTGGGCATGCCTGGTTTATAGTTTATTCTTTTGAGCTACATGTTTTAGTCCAATGTGGCCATCATCAGTTTGTGATTTCAAGATGCATTTCTGCTTACACAATCATAAGGCATTCTGTAGACACTTAATGCTTAGGAGTGTACTTATGTCTTTCAAATACAGGGGTTGTTAGTAAGCTTCTGAGTTCTCATGATGGTAAGTATGAAGATAGCAGCTTCTGGAATATTGAACCGTATAGTCTGATAGAATGGCTATCTTCTGAATTGTTGCGCCGTGTAATCTGGTAGAAGTTTACCGATGTTACAGACGTCCTTGTTGCCTCCATCATCAGGGCGATGAGTGAGCTGTGCCAACCAACCTACTTACTAACCTACCAACCAAAAAGCTAACTAAAGGCGGAGGTTTGCGCAAGCGCAAAATATCGTCCCTTGCTAAGTTACACCATCCTTGCATACGAGGAAAGGCGAGGAAAGGTTGGGCTAAGCCAGGTTAGATGGAGCCTGGCTAGATTAGAGAAGATTAGACTAGGTTAGTGTAGGTAACATCATGCTAAGTCTGGGCAGGAAAGGCCAGGCTATGTTTGTTTGGCTTGATTAGGGAATTTTAAGCTGAGTAAGGCAAGGTTGGGTGGGGGCATGACTAGGATAAATTGTGTTGTGGTAGCATGGACTAGGTTGGGCTAATGTAGGGTGGATGCAGCTCATTGAGTTTGGTTAGGCTAGACTGGGCTAGGGTATGTTAGCTTGGGCTAGGTTGGGCAATGCAAGGCTAAAATTAAGACTATGCCCATGGAGGTTAGGCTGTGCTACAGTAGGCTGTCAGGCAGGCTGTTGCATTAGGCTTCAGCTGAAGTGATTCCCCTGCCCCTTCTGGGTTCAAATACCAGAGATCCATCCAACCAAAATCCTTTTCACGAAGGACAAATTGCCTGAGGTGATAACCTCTCATCAGTAGCAACAGACCCTAGTTTGAATAGTCAAGGCCTCTGCCGTGACAAAACCCCCATTAGTGTAAGCACACCCCTGTTTTAGTTGTAGGGCACTGTTTAACATTTCCAACAATATGTTATGTGGGAATGGTGTTACCTATCAAGGGACGATGTCTTGCGCATGAGCAGGACTCTGCCCTTAGCTTTTTGGTTGGTTGGCTGGTTAGTGGCCCGGGCGGGACTGGCAGTGCTCTATGGGATGCTTCCTAAGTCCTTTGAAAGAGTGGATGAGGGTCTTCCATGACTGGCTCAGGTGATGTCCATCCTCCCTGTTCAAGTCGTTTGGATGTAATTCAGTCTCGATGACCTCCCTGATTATCTGGTCCATGTATCTGGTTTTGATGGACAGGGCAGTTGTATCTTGGAGTTGGTTGCGGTGGCCCAGGTTGATGCTGTGTTTGACCATGGCAGATTTATCCTGTTGCTCCTGCCGGATGTGGCGCATTTATCTGGTTTCTCCTGCCAGATGTGGCACATTTATCTGGTTGCTCCTGCCAGATGTGGCGCTGGTGCTCCTTGGCCCTAGTCTTGATTGAATGACCGGTATGCCCAATGTAAACTTTGCCACACTCACAGGGAACGCTGTGTGCTCGGGAGTCATGAGTCTCAGGTCATCCTTTGCAGGCTGAATGAAACTGGGGATCTTCTTTGGGGGAAGGCCTAGAGACTTGATGTTGTGCCTGGACAGCAGCCTGCTGATGTCATTGAAAGTTATTTTCACGTAGGGCAGGAAGGCAACCGAGGCAAATTTCTCTGGGGGTAGTGCCACTCGCCGATGGGTTAAGAGCCTGTCAAGTCTTTCTGTCCGTGTAGCTGTTCTGCCTGAAAGTGGTCCTGAGAATCTCCAGTTCACCCTGCAAGCTTTCCTGGTCACAGAGGGATCTGACCTCTACCTGAACTCCAAATCCCACCACCGCCCTTCCAACAAACAGGCCATACTTTCCACACTGGTGAGCAGGGGAGGGATGTTTATAGGTTATTGGTTGGGAGGCCTGAAGGGAGGTGACTGCTGGGAAAACCTAGGTGTAGGTGGGAGGACAATGTTAGGATGTACCTTAGGGAGACAGGAATTGATTTAACGAACTGGATACAGCTAGCTCAGATAGAGTCCATTAGCTTGCTTTTGTGAACATGGTGATGAACCTATGGGTTCCATAAAGAGAGTGGGCTGTTCTTTGACAAGCCGAGTATATAATTGACTTTGCAAAGAATATCCTGCACCATAGAGTGAGTGAGAGTGTCTCAGCAGTGTCATGTCTCTGTACTTTTCATTAGGATTTGATGATTGACATTGACATGTGTCATGTAAGATATGGGATGAACTGTATAAGAACACTATTGTGTTTTTAGAAATAATGAACAGGACTGGGAACAAAGACAACCATATTTTAGTACATAGAAGTAGAAGTGGATAGCAGTGAAACCAAGATATCAATTATGCACTTGTTATGTTCATTCATGTGTTAATACTTGCAGCATTAATTTCAGTTTTGAGCTACATGTTTCATATTTCCTGTCGCAGCGTATGGTGTTAGGATGCCACCTTACGAGTTTTCTGTGCCCCATGCACTAGCTCTGGCTGAAGATAAGGAGATGTTATGTGTAGCAGACAGAGAGAATGGACGCATTCAGTGTTTCAACTGTCACAATGGATCCTTCATAGTGCAGCTCCATTCGCATGAGATGGGCTCTCGAATATTCAGCGTGGCATATTCCCCTGCACAAGGTAGAGAACAGAGTCCTATCTTTTCTGTAGGAGCTCTAAGGAGATTTCATTCATTGGAGATAATTGGAATTCTTGATTTATCCTCAGTTACAGTCTTTATCTGACTAAAATTACTTCCCGCTTTGAGTGACGTTTTAAGAATAATTTATTTTGTTGGCTTGTTGTAACCAAGTGTTGGTGAGATGTGAAAAATGTTAACTGTATATTATATCTTTTACATTTATTTGTCATTCCGTGGGACCAACTTTTGAATACCTGTGTCGTAGAAGTCTGCCGCCTGGGATTGGAACCACTGTGTGACCACCATCTCCGCCTCTCTGTCATTCTCAAAACGCTGACGCTGACGCTGACCGGACAGGAATTTCTTGAGGTGTAGGAAAAGATGGAAATCACTGGGAGCGAGGTCCGGGCTGTAGGGTGGATGATTAAACACCTCCCAGCTGAACTCCTGCAGGAGACTTGCTGTCCGTCGAGTCGTGTGCGGCCTAGCGTTATCACTGACCGCACTTCACAGTCGGCGGGAGCTGGAATAAGAACCTCCATCTTCAACAGCTGCAACGATGCTACTGTGAGAACGCGGGAAGTGCCGTTAGTGCATGCGCCATGCTACGTCATTGCTCTATCACGTACGCACAGTCGCTTCGCGCAATATAAGGTTTGCTAGCTGTGGGACGAGTGGGAAACTTACTTTTGGGACGCGCCTCGTAATTGGAATTCTTGATTTATCCTCAGTTACAGTCTTTATCTGACTAAAATTACTTCCCGCTTTGAGTGACGTTTTAAGAATAATTTATTTTGTTGGCTTGTTGTAACCAAGTGTTGGTGAGATGTGAAAAATGTTAACTGTATATTATATCTTTTACATTTATTTCAGATTGGAATATGTACAGTCACAGTAATGCAGTGTTCTGCATAGCCCAAGTCTGTGTTATTCGATTTTGTGCAGTTACTGTAACAATTTAAAAGTACTGTATTATTACAATGAATAAGTTGCATGTGTATTTTCAGAATTAGCACAAGAATGTGATAATGTTATTGTGTGAAATGAGGGCTGTGGCCAGCCATTCTTAAACTAATGGGTTACTTGTTTAGCAGTGTGCCAGTATAACACACAGACAGCTGGACTGTGCAGTATGTAATTTGAGAAATTGTATGTAAAATGATAAGAAGTTCTTGCCTGTGCTTCAGCAGGTCTGTAGTGGGAGTGAGGGCAAATCTCCAAGCATTAGTCACCTTTATGCTCTGGCCATTTTATCGCCAGAGAAAGATTCCCGTGGTGCTCATTGAATAAGAAGCTGGGTGGCCACCAGAGTCACTGAGGATGTGGTTGAAGGAAAATATCTGCCACTGTTGGGGGTCAACCCTGGTCATCAAACCTTCAGCCAGTCACTTACACAGTCATCTGTTTCATGTTAACAGTAAAAATAAATGCAAGCAGTATACTGAACTGTGACATTTGGTACAATTTATGTCAATATATTTGTTTACAGGTGGTCTGTTGATTGTCGTTAATGGTCCTGAATTCCTTGGTGGTGGACTTGTGAGTGGATTTGTCATAAGTCTCAGAAGTAATCAAGTGATGGAAGCTTTCAGTCCAAATGGACAGGGATTCAGCAACCCTCATGATGTAGCAGTGAACAAAGATGGCAGTCAAGTATATGTAGTGGAGCTTGACCCTTATAAAGTATGGAAGTTTGTGAAAGGTAAGCAGCATAGTAGAAAGAGGCAGAGCGCACATACAGCAGAAAAGCCCTGCAGGGGGAATGTTTACTATCGAGTGGACTAGAGGGCTGCTATTGGTGGGAAGTGTGATACGTGACAGTTTTATACTGCTACACACAGACTGAAAACATCAAGCAGTTAAGAGTAGGGTGTAGTGAGTGCACCTCTAATGTGTTCTGTGGGTGTTGTGATAATATTCTAGATTAAATCACTGTGCCACTGTGAGGCAATCTTAAAGCTGCAATAAAACCTTCTCCACCCTTGTACAGGCGGTTTCTGAAGTAAGTAGTCCATTACAGTTCTGAAAATTACGAAAATTGAGCAAAACAGCTTGGTATGAATATCTTCGAAATGCAAACCAATCATGCAAAATGAATGTCATTTTTGTGTTTAGCAGCTCAAAATTAGTAAAAATTGGTTAGTTTCATCTCCGGTATATTTTGGCTGTTGAACAGTGTTATCGATGGGAATGAGGATAGGTAGAGGACCAACTATGCTTCGTGGTGTACGTAATGGACATGTTTAATGTAGGATTTGAATTTTTATGGTGGCTAGTTTGAAGATGGCTGTTTTCTTTGTTCATACACCATGTAGTCTGATAGGAGTTTATGGACGTTTCAGAGGTCCATGCTGCCTCCATCATCAGGGAGATGAATAAACTTCTACCAGACTACATGATGCAACAACCCAGAACACAGCCATCTTCTACATGATTAATGTGTCTTATGTAATAGAAAGTGAGTATCCTTGAGGTCATTTTGTTTGGTACAGGTGTTTGTTTTTCCTGATCCTGCAATTTGTGTAGTGCTATGGAACCTTTGATAAAATCTGGAATATCAAGCCTGACACGCGATTCTCCAACCAAAATCCTTTGCTCGGTAGACAAGTTGCCTCCAATGTCTATGAAAGTAGCCTCTGAGATTCTAGATTTCATATGTATCTTACACCTTTCCTGGTATATTCCAGCAGGAGTGCACCAACACTAGCCACTGACATCTGAGAGAAGACCACTAGTGTTCCTGATGTGTGACCAACTGGTTGCTAATTGCAGACGTGGAGAAGAAGACTGAATGCAGCATGTAAATTTTCTGTGCCTTTGGAGAGGTGGTGCAGAAGGCAGTTATGTAACCCATTCACAGGGGTATTCTGTGTTGTGCTTATTGTGTTGCAGGTGTGATACCATCTTAATGTCAGCTATATTCACATTGCATTAATAAAAATGTGCTAACATGCTGCAGTGACATATATGCCTTAATAGTGTGAAGGCCACCACTTCTTGAAATGAGAGTTTGTCATGTGTGTATGGCTTTGAGTTGCAAGTACTCTTGGCTTTGGCCGCAGTATGTCAATAATATGGTTTTCCCCTTTATCAGCTTCATTCCATTTCACATTCTGAGTTCAAGTTAGTGACACAGCAAAAACTTCAAAACCTCAGTCATTCTCCATTTGTTCCACAAACTGTGAAGTTCCCCAGCAGATAGGGCTCTGCAGTTACACTCGTTTAGCAAGTCAGGTGGGTTGACTTGAGGTGCTTACACAGACGTTTGGAGTAACGTGTAGGCATGTGGTTGCTTGTGTCCACCGAAAATCTATTCAGTGATGAAGATCTCTAGTATATCTTCCGTCCAGTTTTGATATTCACGGATGTCTGTTTTCTGACCCAAGAAGACTTAAAAAATGTGCGTACCACACATTACTTAAGTATGGTATTTTGTATATAGAAATCTGTAAAGAGATGTCAAAGCAGAAGTTAATGGAAATGTTTAGTGGTAATCACCATGAGTGAGTTTCTAAACTGTGTATCAGGAGATGCATAATAGCTGTGGTCCCATAATCGAAAGTGTGGGACTTAACCAGTGATGAGGTTAGTTTGTTTATGTGAGGTAAGTGCAATGGTAGTTATGGATTGTGTGTTGTGCTACAAATGGTTATCAGTAAATATTGGTGGGCCTGAGTGCCGGCCATAATTGTGTTGGGTGTGTATTTTTGTGCTGTTGTATCTGTAAGAAGTGTTGAGTGCTGCAAGTGCCAAAATGAAATCGGACTAAGGGAAGTTCGTGTTCGAAAGTACGGTTACCAGTGGGCGCAGTCACTTGGTGTGTTATAGAAAGTCTTTAAGTGTTGGTGTTGATCTAAGGGGGATATTAAGGGTTAATGGGTTGAGTACAATCCCTTGAACGAAATTTTTACGTGGTAAATGTGCTCCATGATGTAAGCGATCTAGTGGGGACATATGGAATATTTGTTTCATAGTGCTTCGTGCTAAGTTCATTCCTCTGTAGTTTACGAAATCGTAGCTGTTTTCTGGTGTTGTTTTCATAGATGATCGAAGATTTTTAGGTTATGGAAATGTTTGGTAGTTGGTTTGATATAGGTGATGTTGGTTGTCCTGTTCATTTGACGCAGCCCGCGAGTCGTCTTCGTAGATTCTGCAAATTTTGTTCCGAGAATTGAATGAACAGGGAAGATGTTGCTGAATCTGCGTGATGTGTTGAGTGCTTACATGCCAACATGAAATCTGACGAGGACAAGTTCGTGTCGCTTTCAATCGGTGTGTTATAGATAGTCGTGCAGGTATTAAAGATTTGTGTCTGGTGTTGATCTAAGCAGGGTGTTGAGGGTTGTTGGGTTCAGTAACAATCCGGTGACCGAGAGGCTATGTGGTAAATGTGCGCCAGGATGTAGGCGAAATGTGAGTAATTTGTTTCATAGTGGTTCGTGCTAATTTCATTGTGCTGTAGTTTCCGATCCTAGCTGTCCTTTCGTGGCGTTGCTTTCATAAATTATTCGAAGATTTTTAGGTTATGGATATGTTTGGTAGTTTGTTTCTTATAGGTGAAGTTGGTAGGAGGTTTTTGGCCTTCATTTGTCTGTAGTTCCTGACTTTTATAAGACGGAAGATGTTACTAATGGCAGTGACGGGTGTACTGTTCAGCTGCTTTCAATTTTACAATTTGAGGAGTGGTATTTCAGGCAGTATTTTATTCGGCAGTGCAATGAAGTGTGCGAGGTCGGACATCTACTTCAGCTCTGTTGTCGTTAGACGGCAGAAGAGTTCGTCAGGGTGCGCATATAACAATCATTGAATATCCCTAGTTCACCGGCGGTGGCGAGATGTGTTCGCTGGTTTTTTTAGACGTTGCCGTCCCTGCGTATAAGAAAATGGCGTGGACGTTTTGCCGCTCTAGATTTCTTCGAATGCCATGATCGTAGGATGCATTCTGAGTCCAGTGCAGATTTACTCTCATATATTGCCAGGGCGTGCAAGTTAATTTGATGTTATTTGATCGTGTGTTGAATTTATGTGTATCATCTTTCCCCTGTGTGAAGGACGTAAAGTGGGAAATATTTTGGTTGCATGGAAGGTGGGTTTAGTTGGCCAGTTGATCATTAATGAATTGCAGAGTGCGTTCGTAGTAATAATTACGACTGTTGTCACAATGCGGATGTTTATTTCGGTATTTGGATTTGTTTCAGGTAGGCGTGCCTGCAAGCATATAGGATACTACAGCCGTTACGCAGTTTCGAGTCCATCATTACTACAGAGCTGACATTACCATTGTGCATGCTGGACACAATTGATCAGGCGATGCGGTTGGGATGTCCCACAGACACGTGTTGGCAGCCTCAGGTTTTGTGACTTGCTTGTGGAAATTCATTAGCTGTTGATTTAAATTTGTGTAAGAGCTTATCACAGTGGACAAGGTAGAAGTAAGTAGCTAGAGTTACAGGTTGTAATGTTGGTTATGTGGCCACCGCACCACATTTGCACACATTTGATTCCTAGTGACCAAGTGTCGTGTGTTCGTAGCATACCTCAGAATGCCACAAGGAAGACCTCTGGCCCTCATGCGATTAACTTGCCTTCCGAGGAGGTGTACAGTTATAGATTTAGTGTGAGTGCCTTGTCTGTCTCAAAGAGGAGTTTGAGATCAGGGAATGTGGTGAGTGGCAACTTTCTTTTGAACTGTATCTGTAGTGTGTGTGGACTGGTATCACGGTGTCACACGAA